TTCCCACCACAATGGATCTTCCTCTCTCTCCTCCCGCTGTCTTCCATGCTCCATATCCATCGGCCTGTGCTCACGCCGCCGTCTTTTTACCAGCTCTCCGGTTACGGTCGGGCTCTGTAATCGATTCCATCTCCGGCCGGCATCGGGCCATTGGCTGGCCGGCTCGTGTCCGATCGGGCGCCGCACCGCGACCCCCGCGGGCTCTGCGGGCGACCCACTGCAGCGCGCGGCTCTGACCCACTTTGACCGCCGGCCGACCGGCCTAGACCGGCGCTCAGCGGCCGCCCCGTGCCGGATCCAGTGCGGCAATACACCGCGCTGATGTTCACCTGGCCGCCAGCGCTTCTGTGCGTGTGCGAGAGGCACAGCGAGGGAGCGCGAACATCCGTGCATCTGCTCCAATCCCACATAGGCACACGTGAACCCACTCATACGTGCTATAGATGTGCCCAGTGCGCTGCAATGTAGTCACCTGACGGTCAGGCTGTAACCCTCGGACTACGCACATTCCCGGCAAACACGTCTCCCGCACGTGACTTCTGTTGTGCCCGCGTCGCGGCGGCGCGGCGGCGGCGGTGCGGCGGTGCGGTTGACAGGCAGTGACTCACGGGGCCAGACAGGTGTGTTTACGCCGTGTGCCACACCGCCGGACCGTGACCGAATCAGACGACAGAGTCGGACGCTAGAGTCGGATAGACTCTTACTCGGGCGCGTGGCGAGTTAGATGACAGTATAGGCAGCAGACTAGTGATGTCAATTTCAGAAATTTTGGAAACCAATACCAAACCGATACCGACCAAAACCACTGAGAGTATACCAAAACCGAACCGATTTTCAGAAACAGGGGGAAATACAGACTAGATACCGAAATCAGGGAATTATCAAACAAATGCTTCAAACTTTCTCAAGACATATGATAAGCCTTGAAAGGTACCTAATACTTTGAAATAAGGTAACAAAAACAAATCAGGCAATCTCTTAATCATTTGCATTGCCAAAAAAACATTCATAACTTATTTTGTAACTATTAACAAATATTCAGGTCAGTTATTTTACTGGAATGTGGATTCAAGTCAACTGCATGAGGTGTTAGGAAAATAACTTGAACCCTGAACCTTGTCCATGCCTGAACCATCAAACCTTCTTTCAATTCAAGTCATTCATTTCGAGTCCGGTCAAGACTAGAGCACTTCACGGATAGGCTTTTTAGGATCCGGCCCGGCCCATATCCGGCAAGTCATATCCAGATCCGCCCATTATCCCCCTTTCTTTGAATATCAGAATCCGGCCCACCCATGGCCCGTATTGCAGCCAAACTTCCAAAAAATATCCGTAATAATCCGTTTCACCAATAACTGGTTTCACCCAAAACTGGACTAACAAATTCAATCTAAGGGACCAGACAGCCATACAAGTCTTGTGACAAGTGAGTGTCATAAAATGATGCCTATTACTTTAATCAAACCTCTGCTGCCGCTTAACACATTAGGCTAATTTTTAACTTCAATGTTGAATGTTAAAATTTTGATCCGTTTTGATCCGGGTTCAACCTTCAGTTCCCAAATCCGGCCCGCCCATATCCGTTCTTTTTTAACAAATTTAGAATCCAATCCTATCCGGTCCGCGGATTTATCCGTGGATAACGGATTTATCCGGCCCATGAAGTGCTCTAGTCAAGACAGGGTTAAGTGTGTATCATGATCCAAAAGTGGTGACCCAATTGACAATGATGGGCTACACCTTGGGCTGGCTACACCATTAATGTAAACAAAGCCCATGATACCTACAGTTAAACCCAAGTAGCATGGTGATTGGTGACGATACTGACGCAGCCAATTTTTCTTCATAAACAAATGTGTAACACAACAAAACTTGATAAATAATTACTTACGAGACACACTGATAGATAGCAGACACCACTGTAATGATATCGCGATGAAATCTAAGTAAAATGTCCATAATTTTACGGAAGCATTGACACACGTCACGTGTCATCTCTTCCATAATGGCGGCCTTACAGGCGGCGGCCATTTGCATTAATGATTAAACTGTATAAAATAAAGTTTTTCTTTTCTTTTTTGCTTAAGTCCACTAAAATCAAAATTCCTTGTATAAATTTTGACATCTTAAAATTAATTCAAGAAAGTTGTAGGCCTCTTTTGCTGAAAAATGAAGTACCAGAAAAACAGAGTTGTTCAATTATTTTCAATTAGTTTTTGAGCTATATCGGTTCCTCAACCTGGCGCAGCTGCGACATTGAAATGTTTTTAGATGTGTTCAGTTTTGAAACTGCTGTGTGCGAGTCAAGCCAAAAGCCAATTATATTTTATAATTGCTCATGATTAAATTGCTAGCGATCTGTATCTGTTGAGAGAGCAGGAAAGAGAACACTAATTGAAGAAAATAAATTATCCACAGGATCATGACAGCATCGCTTACTACAAGGCTTTTTGAAGTTGAGCGAAGTTGAAGATTTGTGGGGTGATGCGGGTGATGATGAAGTGACAAATGCTGCCTTAAATATTAGATGATAATGGTGAAGCTAGTGCTGTATTAAACAGGGTTTTGGATAATGTAATTGCATTGCAGTAAAATGGAGAGGAAGACAAGGTCAAGATCAATCACAGACTCCTCAAAACAAGTCAAATTTGTTGCTAATAAATGCTTTGGAAATTTTGAGAAAGGTAGTTTAAGCATGTTTTCCAGCATACAGTGAGTTCAACATTAATTCATGTTTATGTCTTGCACATTGGCTTTCTTTGTAGGATAATTATCCTCATGGTATTGGAATTTGCTAACACTGATAAGTTGCCATTTAACATTGGTAGACTGATGTATTTGATATTACAGTTGATGTGTTTGCCCATTTGTTAGGACATCATGCATTTGGGAGAAATGTGTCATGATTGCCATTTTTCTTCATCCAGTGTCATTTAGCAAAATCAAATTTGAGTTCAGAAGGTTTATCAAAAATGCTTTCAAATATTTTATGACAGTAGTTGATTTTCATGATACCGACAAAATACCAAATGCTTTTGGTATATAATACCGAATACCGAATCGGTATTGGTTCGGTATCGGTATACCGAAATTTTGGTAACCGATTGACACCACTACAGCAGACTGAGTCAAGGAAGAGCCGGGCGATGGACTTACAATACAGTATCGACAATGACTCAGACGACAGAGTCAGGCATCAGAGTCGAGTAGCGAGTCCGACGGTAGAGTCGAGCATTGGAGTCAGATGGAGAGTGAGTTGGCGAGTCAGACGGCAGAGCCGCTCGTTAGAGTCGGTTGGCGACTCGGCCGCCAATTTAACCAAACGACGCGGGTAGGGTGAGGGGTGAGTCACAGTCTGGTTGACGGTGACCAACGCTGGCCTTCTTGCTGTTGCTGCGATATTCTGGGTTCAAAAGTCACGCTACCTAGCATACCAAGTTGGTTTGAGTTCGGCCATCGTAGTACCGGAAAAGCTGTCTTAAGACACCGTGACGGCGAATGCGGAAATGACGTGACGTGACGTCTGGTAGCGTGACGTGACGTTACAACGCTGTGACGTGACGTTGACGGCCTGGCAGCCACAGCGTGGTGGAGTGATAACCCTCTACTGATAGCAAAGTTCACCGTCTTTTTATTCTAAAAGTAGAATGACAAGTTCCGTCGGTGTGGTTATTCTGCACTTCATGTAATTGACCCGGATTTGTGTCAAAACGATTAAACTCAGATTTGTTTTTCAATAGAAAAACACAATTCTAAAGAATAGTGTTTTAACTATTGACAACAAACCTTCGGTTACGTTCTCAACATTGACAATATTTTGAACTATAAAACTCCTTCGTTCTCACCCCAGTCTTCATCAGTGCTCAGAGATCCCTCTCTCAGCTTTGATCAGTTCTCGCGTAAAACTAACCAAGGCGGTGCGCCACTTTTGAGCTCGTCCACGGCACACGCGGTGCGCTCATTTGTTACAATCGTGTTCTTTCAATGCATGAATTTCCAGTAAAGCCCCACGACATGTAATAGATTTCTCCGTGTGAGGGTGTTTCTCCTCGCCTCCATAGCGGCTGTGCTGTGCGGCCGGACGATAGCTAATGAAGGGGCCGCCTCAGCCGGGTCCGGTCCGGCACGGTTTATGGTCGCTTGAATATGCAGCTCTCCAGCTGGTGATTAGGGGAATCTGCCGCTTTTACTCGAGGGATGGTTTCCGAGAGACGGACGATGTGCAACTGGCTCTTGCAATCTGTTGAACAATTTACCGGTACATGCTGCATAATCATTCCAATTTATTTTAGCTGATGTAATTCATCGGTACATTTTATCGTAAACATGGTTTCAAAGTCACTTTCCCGAAGTCTTTGTACCTGAATTCTGTACTCGGCATTAATTTTTCGTCGTGAGCGTTTTCTAGACCTTACATATCACCTCATTCTTTTTTCGCGCGTTTTAATATCGTTATGCTCTGTTCCCATGGCGATCACAATCAAGATCACTTGACCTTTTTATCTGAGTGCAATTAGCAGTGGGAGATTGTCGAGGCGTGACTTTTCCACCGCGGCCCCTAATGAGAGAATCGCGTGGTGTTAGTGCCCTGTGCTGGAGACCGGGTCACCGGCACAGGACACTAACACCATCCGTCACAAGACACTAACACCACCCGACCGCCGCGCTCCACGGCGTGACGAGGTGTCACGTTCAGTCGCGAGGAACTACCACACGTCCTCTCTGGAGGTCACCCTGTCCCCTTCCTCACTTCACAGCACACCCTCCGCGGGTGTTTTCGTGTTGTGGCGCCGCTCATTGTTTCTGTGCCTGTTCCACCGCTCTATAACTCAGTCGAGTCACCCCGTGACCGACTGCCTCAGGGTCGGGGGACGCGCACCCCCTTCCCCATTCTTCACCATCGACCTAGCGTTGATGTCGTGTCCCCGACGCGGCCCATCTCGTCGGCCACTCCCCGGTCGGCAGAGCCCGACTGACTGTTGTTTTCCGTGTGTCCCCAGGTGCAGAGAGCAGGCCCGGCGCAGCGTGAGGCGCTCCTGGAGCGGCAGGTGCGTGATCTACAGTCGGCCGTCAAGGCGCTGCTCACGGCCCGCTCCCGAAAACGACGACGACTGGTGAGTGGTGCTGGGTGACGACTGACGTTTGTCACGCCCGGGTGACGTTTGTGGCGCGCGGGAGACGTTTGTGACCAAGGGAGGTGGTTAGATTCGGGGAGAGATGTTAACTATGGATCTTTTTGAACAGTTATGAGAAAAAGTGGTTGGATGGTACGCATGATATTATAGTCACGTCCACCGATATCTACGTTAGAGTATGAGTATCTACTATAGTAGCGCACTAAAAGCAAAGCGGCGCATAGAGACAATAGCGGTGCCTTAGCGACAGAAGCGGCGTGACCTCCGGCGGCGGCTAGGACGGCACGGTGGAGACAGGTCAGCGAGGTCATCCCACCAAACAACAGGCCGCTGTCACGAGCGGCGCCCCGCGCTGTCCGCCGCCCGTCCCCTGCGACCCCATCAGTACTTCTTGTGCCTGATGGGAGATTAATTGTGGAGAAATTAAAGCTCGTCCCCTTGACCTTGTGCCAGATGCAGTCGACGCCGTCTTTGGAGGATGCACAGGGCAAAAACGGGGAAGCGGCAGGACGTGCCGTACCCCATTCTCGGTCGGAGGATTAGATTAGTCTTATGGTGTGTAAAAATACAGCATGTGATAAACCTGGCGCTATGAAGGTCACCACCACATTCCAAAGCGGGGGGACGAATAGTTACTGTTACTACGCACCGGTTCATCAAAGACACCGCACAGTGTGTTGTGTAACACAATCAGGGAGGGGTCCGAAAACAAAGACACGCCAGTATGGACCCAGGATTCTCGTTCCGACAAACATGAAGTAATCAGGCCCGTGGGTGGGCTTGTCGACCCACCTCCCGGGTGCCGCACATTATCATACGAATCGCGGCCGCGGACAAGCGCGCTCATCGAAAACGGCCACTCTAATTGGCGCTTGAGTTCGAACTGCAGACAAAGCGGCCACTCCATCACAGGTCGATCGTGGCCACAATGCAGACTGCCGGCACCGTTAGCGCTTCAATGGCCGATCTGGAGCGCCCCGCCGTCACTGAACGCTGCGCGGCAGTGACGAGGGTCGCGGAAGAGGCGTCGGTGGTCGCGACGATGGCGCCGGGGGTGGCATGGTGACGGTGACGATGACGATGACGATGACGATGACGATGGCCGTAGCGGCGGAGGAGGTGGGTGGGAGCGGTGCAGACCTCGGCAGGTGGAGCTGGCACGACTCAGTGAGAAGTGGTCCATGAACACCCTTGGGCGGGCTCGCTCTGTACTGCTCAGCACGGTAGCTTCACGCACGGAGGCGTTGCTGACTCCAGATGGCAGAATGAGGCTTCAGAACGCCATAGCTCCAGATGGCAAAATGGGGCGTCAGAATAGCATAGCACGCCACCACAATGGTCTCCGATTCACCACGGTCTCCTCTGCTCTGCAATTTTCTCTCCCGCGGCCTCCTACTCGGCGGCTAGCAGTATGTACCACAGATGGTATGCATCTCACTCTGGCCTCTATTTTCTCGCCCGACAGCCTCTTCGTTTAGCCGTCTATCTGTGGATCTGGCCCAGCGGTGGGCCGGTGTGTTGAAATGGGGGCAGAGGACGCGCGGGGGCGGATGGGTTACCGGACCCCGCATACTACGCAATCACCTGGGTAAATGGATGCCGGGTCCGGTCGGTGTGACTTCAGTTCGTGCCAGGAGACACTGAGGAGGAGGCTGCATCGCTGGCAGTAAAAAGATTCCCCACCCGTCCGCAAGAGCCTGCATTGCGACAGACACTTTGTATGCAAATGCATCATTTCGACCCGGGCTTTATAGAAAACGGGTCAACTGGTGGATTTGTCTGTGGCCTCCCAACCAATCATCCTAAAGCGATTGTTGATTGGGATTTTCTGTTGAGACGCGGCGCTGTGACCCGCGGGGTCGGCCTTTCGTTCACGGAGCCCGTCACTTGTATCGCCAGTCGCCGCCTCTCGGAGGTTTACCGGGCCGTTTGTTAGCACCGGAACCATGGCGGCGAGCGGCCGCCTTTCAACGCCACGCCACTATTCACCACAAGGTGTGGAAAGGTTGCCGAGGTCAGGCCGCCACGCGCCCTGCGACCTGAGCTCGCGCCGGCTCGCTGCGACTCGCTCCGACCGGCCCTAACCCACGCTTGAAACACTGGCCATCGGCGCCAAATCTCACATTGTCCCGTCTTCTGGCCGACTCTGACCACACGATTGGGAAATGACCGCCACGTCGTCGCCGAGACCACACAGGCTTATCCATCAAACATCCGAATCGGGAGTGTGCGGGCCGCCGCGCCGGCTCAGCTGGGGAGGTGGGCGCGGCGGAACGCGTGTTTTCGTTTCGCAAGTGCGACAACCCTCGGGCGCGTGAGGGCGTCGCCGAGAAGCCGGGGTCACCTCTCTCCTGTCCCATGGCGGCAACCCACCGGGATGCCGACACCCACTTTGGACCCACTCTCCTCGCCTGTCCACCCACCTGTCCACCGCGCGTGGCGACGCTCCGCAATTCCACGCCACGCTATCGCCTCGCTTCGTCGACCTGTCCCCGGCGCATCCTGAAAGTATCGGTCTGTTATGTCAGGCGGCACGGCACGCCTTCTCGCTGTCCGTGACTGTTCGTGAATACCGTGACCGGTTACGGCTGGTCACGAAAATGTAAGGCTGACTACCACAGTATGACAGATCCATGGCGCACTTATTTCTCAGAGCCGGCAGCGGGCCGATCGTTACTTGCCGATCTCCACGGGTGAAATCAGTGATCAGCTGCCCTTAGCTCCCGGCGTACCTCGATGGTAATTGATGGCACGAGTAATTGGCTACAAGTGGCTTTACGGCCGTTCCAGCTGCCGCGCGACCCGCCGCGCCGAGTCGAAATGGAGTTGGAGATGCACCCCGGCGGCCTCGGCTGCCACCCATTGTTTGCGGGCTCTGAGCTGCAGACGATGAACAGGAGAGTCATCTGTCGTACTCGCCGGCGCTGAGTCCGGTGATTAATTTGACCAGGTATGCAACTTGCAAGCCACACTCTCCCGATGGCTCGTGCTGACCGAGATAGCGCACAAAGGGCTTTCATGACACGCCACCCGCAGAGGACTTTCAGACCTTTGGACGGCGCACACACAAGTGTGACCATACGCCAGCTTTGGTTGTAAAATGCTCCCACGTTTTACTCCTAGAAACTCGCTCTTTTGGCGTGGCGTGGCGTAGCGGCGCGACCAAGCGTTCCGCCGCGCACTTCACTGATTAGTCATAGCTCGCGCGCGGTCCGTCGCCAGTCTGTCCGCTTTCTCCGCGCGCGGCCGATGCTCGGGGCAGTGCGGAACCGTGCAGCGGAACGGTCGCACCCCGGGGGCGAGGCATATAGTATGTTCCGGAGGGTTTATGAGCCCCGTGTCCGAGTGGCTGGGTGTCGATCGGGTAACGATAGGGGCATTCCACGTCAAATCGAACAAAAATCGGCTGTTTTGCACCTTACCATCAGCGATTTCATTATAAATTTGTGAGCGAGTTCCTGTGTGGCCCCGGACATTATATTGATGTTTTTTGCACATTCTGACCACAGGTCTTCTAAATATAGGGCATCAAATTTTTACAAAATGTTGCATCTTTATATTTTTGAACGACCATAACTTTGGTTGTACTTGTTTGATTTGAATGAAATAACCCTTACTGTTTAGGTAATTTCTTAAGCATTTGTTTAGAATTGCACCTACTTAAATATATGACCTTGAAATTTGCTTAACTCTGTTCTTAAGCACAAATATCGAAATAGCAAAAAACACGTCACCTTCGATTTGGCTCATTTTCATATATTTTATTGCCTACCATATTCTTAACAACCTGTGAAAAAATTAGAGTGGGCCATTCATAAGTTTTGAAGAAAATTGCACATATGCAAACATATGTTAGCACGCGCAGTGGAGGAGGAAGAGCGAATTTCGCCCACCCCTCCTGTTTTTCTCCAATATCTCATAAGATTAATGCGAAATTAATTATGGCTACCTGTCAAGAATTGAATTGGACATCTCATCGTGCAAGCAATAAGAAAATCGGTTCACAACTGTTCTAGTAATAGCGGTGTAAAGTGAACATCCTGTCGCCGCAGCGACGCGGCGACTCGGCAGCCGGCGCCGACCGCTACGCGCCGCCTGAATTGTAGACTGTGCCGGGACGGAACGGAGCGGTTCCGTCTTTACATCGCGCTCCTTACCGCTGATTACGTTCGATTCGCGTCCAATTTTGTGAGAAGACTAAGAAATGTACAGGCAATCTTATGGTGAAAGAATTTTGAAAATCGGTTGGTAAACAATTGAAATATGAACGTATAAACAGAAAATTGTGATTGCTGCATTTCCCGCATCGGCCGAGCCCGCCTTGCAGCCGGCGACATGTTACTCTTAGCAGGCCTTTAACTGCCATATTTATTATTGGATTAACTAGAAATTCCCCATACATACTATAAAATGTATGTTCTTTCGTATAGTGAAGATCAAAAGACGTGAAGTAATCGTTGCGTGATAATGTTTTCGTTGAATTTACTTCATGATGCATTTCCACACGGCTCAAAATTCACCGCAAAATACCGTTTGCCTGAGACACTTTTACTATGGAACGTGAATGGTTGACTACGATGACTATGCATTTCCATTCTCGCAGAGTTTAGGATATCACTAATCAGCAATCATTCATTTCAGAAAGTGTACACAAGCAAGCATGTCTTGACTCTGTCTTTCAAGGTCACGCGCTGTTGCGTGATGTTGATGCATGAAAACGGCGTTTGCCGCGAAAGTTATGAATGGCCCACTCCAATTTTTTCACAGAATGTTAGGAACATTGTAACGGACATAATATGTAAAAATTAGCCAAATCGAAGGTGACGTGTTTTTTGCTATTTAAATTTTACTGTTTTAATTCAAGGTCAAAAGCATTTCAAGGTCACTTCAAATTAATTTTATAATTAAAAATCAAAGCCTTATCAATTGCCTATAAGACCCTGTTAATATCATTTTGATACCAGAAAAGGAACCAGAGTTATAGCCATTTAAAAAATTGATGTGTGGCATTTTTCGCTATATTCGATGACCTATATCTCAGCGATACGTTATCAAATTTCGAAAATATTATACGTAACTCAGTTTTGAACCATGCCCAGTCTGCCTACAAAGTTTCAGAAAAATCGAAGGGGATGACGGATTTCGGTGTTTGATTTGACGTGGAATGCCCCGATAGGCACGGCGCGATGTCCGGAGCGATGGCGTCGAACAAGGGTGGTCAGACGGGCACACAAGGAAACGCTGGTTATTGATGGAGCCGGCCTGTTATCAGACAAGACAATAGCCGTTGTCCTTACACGAACATTTGAATAGTACAGGCTGTATGGTGTAGTTGCATCTTATCTTGTGCACCGTTTTGATGTTCTTTGTTCTTATTTTGTTTCAATACTCGTTTAGTGATAACAAAATTGGGAAAATCCTTTCCGGGTTCCCGTAAAAGTAAAACTAACGTTACGCTCGGCATTTCCGTTAGGTACCTCTTTCAACTTTTTATCTTGAAGTGCTTCAGCCATTTACGGCTTTCTAATTCGATTGATGTTTTTCACAGGAGAAGAAAATCAGAAAAATGGAGGCCGAGCAGAAGCCGTCGCGACTGCGCGCCAAACGCAGTGTGGCTCGTCTCCTCCAGACCAGATCTCGGGACTCCAAGACTGCGGAGAAACCCGCGTCTCCTGCCGGCGAAACTCACCGAACGGTAAGAACGTGGGAGCTTCCATGCAACGACCGTTCGACGCATCACGACGGGCGCTCACGGTTTCCCCGAGCGTCAATTCGCGAGTCGGCTGCCTGCCTCTCAGGCCTTTTCACGATCGTAACGGAACGCGTGGGGGCATTTGTGGTCACAATTTCCACTTGGGGAAGCTGCGCTAGGGCAAATTATTTCATTTCTCATACGCATGGTTATGTCCAGCTGGGAGAGTGCTGAATATTTGGCATGAAACGTCCAGTGGCGTATCGCGTGATGTAATCACTGCAAAGTTACCACGCAAATTTCACTCTCGGGCAATTCAAACCCTTTCCATAGCAGCCGTGCCGCTAAATCGGACCACTTATCCGCTCGCTCTGTGTTATCACACACGCATGCAGATAATTATCGGCCAATTAGCTCGCTAATGACGGCTACACGGCGCTAGGAGCGCGAGCGAGCGTCGGGGCGGTCTGCTCCCATGACCTCACGGCGGGTGCGATACGGGACGAGCCTCCGCGACCCTGGTCTGTGCGAAAACCGTCCAAACCGCAAACACTTCCGGGCCATTATTGTTGTATTGTTACCGGACATCGTGAGCGATGCGCTGATTGTTCTGCGCCCTGGCTCGCACAGACAGGGAAGACGCATAATGCCCGCGCTCGGCCGGGCATGCCAGCTATGCTGATGGCTGGCTGCCAGGAACGCCGAACGGGTTGTGGGCTGTGCGCTACTGGAATGTGGCGAGTTTGAGCTATCTGTAACGGGGACCACCGGCTGGAACTTATGAGGTCTGCGATGCGAGTAGATATCCCTACAAACCGGAAGGAGACAGTTAATTTGCTTGATTATGTTTAATTTGGTAGGTATCGTGCTAGTATGCCATGGAACTTTACAGTCACCACAGCTTTTGCGATGGTTTATAGATTGTATCATGAATACGAGTAGTTTTCACCTAGTAGTGATGGACAGATTACGGCGTAAAGCCGATTACCATGCTATCAAATTATTTACATATGTTGTGAAGTTCTCTACAGTATCATTCAAAATTCGAGTTATCATGAGGACGGAAGCAAAGTCAAACGTTTCCATTCAGCGTTCTCATAAGAACAAAGGGACACACTTGTTGCGGTCGGCGCGCTATTCGGGTTAGCTGAGCCACTCACTCGAACACCGTGAATGGAACGTGCGAACCCATTCCGCCAAAGACCGTCACCACGGCCGACGGCGGCTTCGCTTTGACCGTGAGAAGCCCCACATCTTCCACAAAGGCATGTCCGTCCGTCGACTATAGTGGTTTCTCAAAGCGACAAAGGATTTCACCTCGCATCTGGACGAGACTCGCACATTTCCGTTTGTCACAGGTCTAAAAGATCTGCGTAACTCACCCTGTCGACCCTGAGAGGAACATCACACTGAGTCACCCACTTGTCCAGCTCAACCTGAGCGTGTTAGTCACTGATCCTCGCTTGGATTGTGACGACATTCACCAACATTCTCCGCGCCCAAGACGGCACCTGGCAACACACGACAAACTGGGGAAACACATGGACGACAAATGGGCGCCACGAGTGGGAAGTGAGTGGCAAGCGAATGTACGTCGGTGGGAACTGCTGCCCCGCTGCTGGCGACAAGTAGGGCGCGCCATGGATCGTCGCGCGCCGCCGTCACCGCCGCTGGCGACGGGTCCACGCCTGCGCCGATGCCCGCGGCTGGGACATCGGGCCAGTGTGTCGGTGGGTCGGACCGCCGCGGCGACGGTGGGCTCCTGTTCGAGTGGCCAGTCGGAACGAGTGGTGTGTGTGGTAGGGTGAGCAGCGGTGGGTGCTGACTGGAGGAGTGTCGGATGTGAGAGGAAGCGTGTTTTGTTGGTGTGGGTGCCAGGAGAGTGTCATGGGAGTGCTCTTCACGTCGGAGGTGACTCGGTGAGTGTCCGGTGGAGTGTTGAGGGAGTTCTGAGTGGCGGGATGAGTGGAGCGAGAGGCGCCGTCGCTGGAGATTTGAGTGAACGGATACAACCTATCGTCCCGAGCGAGCGTGGCTAGCGATCAGGGGCTGTGACATGGAAGTAGCCAGTTAAGGATTTTCTTGTATTAGTCGATGGTCGCCTTGTGCCAAGGATCCTTTTTCTCAAAAAGCAGGTCCATTATGGCAGAATAACAGATAAGTCATTTTATATGAAATCAGTTTTTCACGCTTTTCTTTACCGTCCCGGTTTTCTGCATAAATTTCTCACATAATTTTAATTGTCGTGACATGAAATGATTAAAAGATAACATAGGCGTTAGTCAACAGGTATGCCAAATTTATTGCATCATATGTAAGCTCACGGTATTGCCTCGTCATCGTCTATCGGTGTATCCCGTTACGTGATTGACTATCCCTCGATCATCAATCGCGTTCGCAAAGAAGCCGCTGTTCGCACATTGTTCTGCGACTTTCTCTTCCACCTGCATCGAAAGGTGATACGCCAAATGATGTATGCAGCTACTCATACCAGCTACTCATATCTCCCTCTTCAATACTTGTCAGTATTACTGACAGTATCATCCGCAGAATCGCCCTTACTATCACTCACTGCTTCTGTCCATGATTCCTCATCAACGAAGAGCACCGTTTGGCGTTCGTGACTATGTCCGAGACGTGACGGTGGGTGCGTCACGTCACGCTAGCATGGACGGGTCTCATGTCCCGTCACGCTGTGACGCCTGAGAGCTCCGCAAAAGACGCCGTTAGATCCGTCATTGGTCGCGGGAGATGCTCCCGGTCCATAGATCTTCTTGGTGTCGTCATCAATTGTTCCGTCACGGATAGTCACGTCGATAGAGATGGACAATGGACGGCGTTACGTGGGAGGGGAAACTTCGGTCACTCGGGGGGAAACATTTCACATCTGTATACAATAAACAGAAACTCCGTTCCGTTCCATGGTCTTCAATCTTCAGAATTGTCATTTACAAGCGATGGTCATTGGGTGACGGTCATGTGATTTTCTTTGCATCTTGAATATGATAAGATGCTGTTTTATCAGACCTTGCTTTGCCGCCCGTTACTGGGGCCCGCCAACTGCGCCGTGACTAGGTTCGTGAGACCTGACGTGGCACTCACAGACGTGAGCTGACGTCATGACTGAAAGGGTGCGTTGGGAGAATGTGTTGCAGCGCAACCGGCAACCGCTACAGCAAGTCGTGACCCTTCATATTAGGAGGCGGCCGGTATCAAACCAAGGGTCAAAGGTCTGCTCCCACACCCAGCGTAAAGTCAGTCTGGAATAGCTCTGATTGAGGGTTCAAATGACGTCAATGGTAGTCATAAATAAAGCGTTCACCTTTGACGTTGCACCTTTGAGAATGCATTACCACAAATTGAATTCATTTCATTTAGGCTCTCAAAGTGTTACTCGATCCGGCATGAATTACACTAAAACACGGGTGAAGAAACGAAGCCATATACTCGTATGTAGTTCCATAAGTTATTTAGGGAATGTGGACGCGCTCAGACAATGTTTTTTAACCAGATTTCTCCACCGCTCTCCGTAATAACCACCACCCTGACCCGGTACTAGACTGCTCCTAGTCCCCGGACGCACCCCATCTGTTTGCCCCCGCTAACTGCTGTCCCAGCAGACAGTCCCATCTGTCCCCTGCTCCCCTCGGGGACAGGCAATGGCCTAAAGGGGAAAGAGTAGCATCCGCTCCCGAATACCGGTGCTAGGTGGTCAGTGTGGTCAGAACTCAGAATATGTAGCTGTCTAGAAAGATGTGGGTAATTGTTTGAATCGGCCCTAAAGCATGGTCTGTGTTTATTTGCGATATTCGGTTGTCGTTGGTATACGAGGGCTTGTGAACATTTGCGACTATTCGGCTCGCTTTTCTCCACTCCAGCAGCTATGCTGATATCCAAATCAGCATGTTGAAATAATGACTTGTATTTCAGAGTGCGTTGGTAACGCAAGACAGAGACAGGCCTAGAGAAGAAAACTGATGAAGCTAAATATTTTCATATAATGATCGTCACCCTGAGTTGTGGGGAGTTCCGAGTTAGAACAGAGGATCAACTGACAAGGACGAAGTGAAACCTGCGCTAGCCTGCCACCGCAGTGCGCGCTCCTGCAAGATGTAGTAATGCATTACTGTGGTAGTCGGTCAGATGTCCGAATCAAATCGACTGAGTCCATCATGTGTCTCTACTGTACGATTGCTGTCACTTTGACAAACTTTCTTCCGGGTAACGGCGAAATATTCCCATCCCTCCCATTTGTACTAAACCGAAAATAATTACTCCGTTTAGTAAACCAGCATTTCTTCACATCATATAACTGACGTGCGTCCTTAAACCACGATCATCATCATTAATACGAGTGAGATCGGGCCAGTTCCGGTCGGTCGCGTCACTGGAAACTTACCGGACGCAGAACCTGCTTCTTCACCGCGATTCCTGCGGTCTCTGCCGTCACGTGCCTCCGTCGCGGACTGAACCCGACCTGTTTCATTGTCCGGATCACAGCGGGGTGTGACTGAGGTTCGCAGCAGATACCGAGTGATAACGCAGAACCGCTCCCAGCCACGCAAAGCTAGCCAGTGACCTGTGGTTCACTTTGTTGAAACAACGGGACGATGTTTGTCGGGGGTTAGATGCTGTTCGGCTGAGAATCTGAGCTCTGCGTAGTCCAGACGACCACCAGTGAGTCTTAGCGATCTAGCCTTCTGTCTGACTCGTCTGGATGCCGATGTGTGTGGCGCGCCTCCACGCCCCGGCGGCGGCTCGAGGAATTCCGAGTCGGCCCACCCGTCCTGGGAGAATGAATGGCTCGTCAGTCACGTGGCCAGGTATACGACCGGAACTGGCCTCCGTCCGTCCGACGGCACGGACTGTCAGCGTGGGGCCGGTCACAGTGGACGGACTTAGGGACTCGTGGAAGGACTGAGGAGATATGTTCAGAACCTGAAGGATCGATTGCCTGTGAGTCACCCATGTCATCATGGGTGGTCACTGGTCAGGGACTCAGGCGAATGCTCCTTTGTCTTTGACAACGAGGACCCTCGTCGTGATAGGGCGGCATGGTCATTTGGCGGCAGCCCTTTTAGCGCGTGTGTTCTTCCACCCCTATCGGTGAATCATCGACGCCCTCCAGCCATAGAGCTTGCGATATGACGTGTATGTATAAGCTTATCTGACAAGACAGCCATGCATAACATTCACTGTAAAAAAATGTCACGAGCCAATTCTATGACAAGGAGTGGGTTACACGGTCGTCCATTGTACCTTGCTGTTATATATAGGGACATTATCAGCCTGAGAGTTGTTAGTTAAAGAGTGGCCTCGTGAAACAATTGGTTACAAACGGTAACCTAATAACTTAAATGCTTCCCTAACACCCCTTCCTGCTTATCAACAGATTTCGCGCTGTGTCGGAAAACTACGCATAGTCTCATAAGTAAATCCGCCAGAAGCTTGTTGCATGCTAGTTACATGCGTGTTTCATTATCGTGTCATATCATTATTATGTCGGCTAATGAGGCAACGCCCTGCACGTGCTTTAAATATAATCCTGCGCACACGCCACCTAGTCGGAAACTCATCATCGGACTAGTCCTGGTAGGGTTTTCGTGTTGCCGAATGAGGCGAAACGACTTTGATTCGGTAGTGCCTCATAAATTCCTGCTACGGTGAGCAGCGACGAGTCTGAGACTGCTTCTAAAACGCGTCCTTCACTTCCGGCGCGGGGCCGTCATTTCCGGCCGCCATTGTTCAGTTCTGCGGCTGCCGGCGGTTGGTGCGGTTGTGTTGTGGCACGGTGCGTTGTGAAGTTCTCGGACTGGGATATTTCGAAGGTACGTTATATTGTATGATATTTACGTAGCAATGGGCGACATTTTATTTATTTTGTAATATTCTGAACACATGTTGCGTCATAGAATTCATCCCTTGACCGTTGTGGGCCACTGTTTGGTTTGAATTCCGACTATTGGAAGACGGACTTTCTTTCAGGTGCTGTCTAGCCTTTTTTCCAAATGTGTAAGCTACACATATTGCCTCACATTGGTTTATCTTATACAAAAGTCAGTTGATGTAGATAATGAAGCCATCCTCACTGATATTTTAAAATCAGCAGTTAATTTTCTTTTCTGTTTGCAGAGCTGCTTAAAGTTGTGGGAGACTGAGGCATGAAGGTATACCGGAAGCCAGCGATATTTCTGTTGGTAAGCCTCGCCCAGAAAAAATACTTGCTTGAATCTGCGAAGTATGGCAAATATTTGATGGACTGCACAGTGCACAATGTACCTGACATGGCAGGATCAACTTGCTCACTCGCCTGTTGTAAGTGCCGTTGCGTCAGAGCCCGTGGAAGTGCCCGATCGTGTCTCATGCAACCGTATTATTTTGTGAATGTTATTGGTGGTGACTCGAATCAGCTTTTGCACCACTCCACTATGATATTGTAATATGTATATTTTAGATATTTTGTATCGTATGCTAATAAGTAATAAACGTTATTTTTGTGTATGTTTTTTTTTTGTAACGTGGCTGGCACGCTGTCGTGGCTGTCGGAGGGGCGGCTGGGGAGAAGGGGGGGGGGGTGACGCAATTGAGCTAGTATTACTACTGGGCAGCAATAGCAGGCGCTAGCTGGTTGGGTTACCAGGCGAGTCCTGCTAAGGAGCCTGATCGGCGTACCGATCTGCTGGTTTTGCCCTCGTTTTCAAACGAGGTACCGAATAACGAAACGAGGGGCTGACAAGGGGGTGCTCGGTTTATGAGGCGTGGGCTTGTCAGTTACTAACGGAACAAGCTTGTACCCTCTTACTAGCTAAATATGAGGCGATTTTTACACGTCGCTGCATGCTCATTTTTGCGCCAGCGGTTTTCCTACAAGGGGCTTGTAAGATTTTTTTACAGTGTTTGTCTCTTTTTTGGCTTAATCTGCTATCGGCGGCGTCTGTGTGTGAAGACTGTAGAAATCCGGAAGTAAGTAGCCGCTGCTCGAAGCGACTGTGGTAGCTCATGCGGCGCCGCCACTGTGGCATGACGAGCCTACATCTCGGATAGGCAGAGCCGGTCCTGCTTTTTACGCCAGCGGTGGCCGGGAAAGCCAGTCTCAATCGATGGAGAACTATCACGCGATGAACGATTCTAGTCGTTTGATGTTGACTGGCTATTTCGGGCATTTTACCGAAGCATGCAATCATTGCGATGATGTCTGCAATGAAAGTTGTGACTTAGAAACATTTGATAAGCAATGCTAAGTGCACCCAGTGCACCATCTGACCAACAACTTTTTATACACCCTCTTGTGATTCGATCGCTTGAAAAGGATCAACTTAACGACAGTTTCGCTCCATGATTTATATCGCTGGTTTTCCGTAACATCCAAATAAGAAATCCATCTTATGCCTTTAATGCAATACATATACTTATATATATTTAAAGATTATATTTTTAAATTTTTAATTTTAAATAAAAATTTAAAGATTATATATTTTATATTTTATATATTTCAATATTTAAAGATTTTACATTTAACAATTTATACATATAAGCACTAAACCTACAATAAACATTTGACCATAACACAATACACGCTGAGGTTTACAATTCCAACTTATCCTGCGGTGTTTCAGAAGCCGGCTGTGGCCCGCACGCCGCCGTCGGTGAAGCGTCGTAAGGCGTCGGGTCCGACGTCCGACTCTGCCGAGGTGATTCAGCTCAAACGAAAGGTCGAGGAGCTGCAAAAATGCATCGAGCAGCTGCGCGAAACGACACAGGTGAGGGTCGGCGACTGCTGACGGTGGGTCCGGGTCTATAGGTGGCTGGCTGCATTCTTTGTTCCAACTCACTGTACAAGAGAACATTGATTGCAGCCGACAGTTATAAATGTTTTCGTCGCTTTGCTTTTGTTTTCAAGCTCTTGGTTTTAAATCATTGTTCTTGTATCCAGATACAAGTAAAAGATATAAATAATTTGTGAAAATTAATGTGGCATGTAACATTTAGGATTTTATTTTATCAGAGTATTCTCCAGTCCTAGCTTATCCCTTTGTCCTTATCTTATTTAAGCTCGTCCAAAAATAGGCCGTTCGTTCTGAGCCACCGCGCCGTGCGGTGTGTCCCGGAATTTCCTGGCCCAATAACAATCGATCTGTGCCATGTTTGCAGTCTGTCTGTGGCCCGGCCCAGTCGCGAATTGACACATCACTGTTTGGCTTCGCCCAGCCTGGGAGTGGTTCCGAGTGCACTCGATAATCGAACGAAGCGCCGGGACATTTCCCACAGTCATCCTCGTTTTCGGCCCATCCCAAAGATGTTTTCGTTTTCCGACCGCTATAAGTTCTCTTATTTGTTACGATAAGTGCTGAAATAGCAATGTGATCTAAACTAAACAGGATTACACAGCTAGTTGGTTGCCATGTTATGCCAACAATTCAGCAACATTGATCTTCTGTTGAATCAATCATCGTTGTATGTCCCTTCGCATTATCAGCGCAGGCCTTTCCAATCTACCCGCGAGACGCGTCATGGTCGCATATTTGTACGCCATGGATTCCACATCAGCACCAAGCCATGACCCCGATTGTTGCCTTATCAGGCCTTGCCATGCCAAGCCAACCGCCAACAGGTGTGCAGACCCCACCCCCTCCCGTGCACACCGACTATCGCCGCAACACCGGTGCCGCGCCGCTGCGTCGGTCGCGACGTTGTGCCGCCGGCATCGATGGTCGTCGGTGCAGTGTCGACCCTGCCGCCGCTGACGGTAGCGCCGCCCCTGTGGGGCTCCGATATACAGACAAAGTGCTGACGCCGACGTGGGTTCGTTTTCAGATTAGAGCCAATCGACTGGGGACGCTGCACAGCCCACGGCCACATCGACTTCTGCAGGGAAAGGTCAGTAACGACTTCCTGGAAGTTCTATTCTGCCGTGCCGAGATGCTTCCCTTGACCCTCTTCTCTCTCTCTCTCTCTCTCTCTCTCTCTCTCTCTCTCTCTCTCTCTCTCTCTCTCTCTCTCTCTCTCTCTCTCTCTCTCTCTCTCTCTCTCTCTCTCTCTCTCTCTCTCTCTCTCTCTCTCTCTCTCTCTCTCTCTCTCTCTCTCTCTCTCTCTCTCTCTCTCTCTCTTTCCCTCTCTCCTCTCTCCTCTCTCTCTCTTTCCCTCTCTCCTCTCCTCTCTCTCTCTCTCTCTTTCTTTCTTTCTTCCTCTCCTTCCCTCCCTCCCTCCCTCCATCCTCTCTCTCTCCCTCTTCCCCTCTCTCTTCTCTCTCTCTCTCTCTCTCTCTCTCTCTCTCTCTCTCTCTCTCTCTCTCTCTCTCTCTCTCTCTCTCTCTCTCTCTCTCCGGTTTTTTGGATGTGTCATAAATCATTGCAGTTGCAGATTCAAGTCGGAAACCTGGGCAGTAAGCACTGAGCAACAGCGGATGATGCATGGAACTTCCCCAGTGCTATGCAACATTGTCGCCAGATGTGTTTGATAGTTCTCAAATCTCATTGCATGATTCATGCCTTTATTTTTATCTCTTGCAGGAGATTAACAGGAGAAACAACTCAACATGCTTGCCACAATACCGTATAATTTACTTATTACATGTGTTCTTTTCTATCTTATTTGCGCTTTTTGAGAGAGCACAAGAAACGTATCATGACCAATGACCATGTCCTTGTGAAACATAACAGTTACATATGTACAAAATTTCACCACTATGCATTATTCACTCCAAACCGCATCATTTAATCCATACCCACATCGGCCATCTCCGGCCCTATCTATTCACCCATCGCCGGTTTTCCAAACCCGCCCAAAATCTGCCGAGTAATCGGTGCCGGCCGCTCTGGGTCTGAAGTTAACGACCCACCGTAGCCCAGTAAGGGAGCACCCGGGGCGCCGATTAACTGACCCGCCCGAGACGACCGCCCTCCGGAGCCGGCAGCTTCCGATGCTCCACTTCGATTAGCAGCGCGCCGCATTACGGCTCGGCGGGGTTCGCGACGGATTAACCGGGCAGAGATGGCGAGGAGGTTTCTGTATGTGTCTGTTTGAGACCAAACTGTATCAGCCTGATGCATGCATACCATGCCACACGTGAGTGGACGCGTTCCCGCTGGGAACTTCGACACCGACCCTAGAAACTCAGAATATTTCTTATTTACCCGTTATCTTCGTTCCTAACTTGGCTATCGGCGTATTCCATCTTATTCCTACTTGGCTTGCCCTTAAGGTTCGCCCAGAGGCTGATCCACTAACCTCCACCCCCACCACGCCTCCAACATGTTCGGCCCACGTCTCTGTTAGGCTTAGCCCCGCGTGTCCACTCCACTAAGCTCAGCTCAGCAGTCCCCAGCCTCGGCCTCGCAACTCCGCCAATATCGACCTCACGTGTCGCTCAGAGCTCGCATGTTCGATTAATCGACCGGTGGCTGGCGGTACGAACTCTGCCTTATTGCTCTGCTCACGGCGGGTGTCCCAGCCTCTCCCTGTCGAGTATCGCCTCCCCCTGTCGAGTATCGCCTCCCACTGTCGAGTATCGCCTCCCCCTGTCGAGTATCGCCTCCCCCTCCCCCTGTCGAGTATCGCCTCCCACTGTCGAGTATCGCCTCCCCCTGTCGAGTATCGCCTCCCCCTGTCGAGTATCGCCTCCCCCTGTCGAGTATCGCCTCCCCTGTCGAGTATCGCCTCCCCCTCCCCCTGTCGAGTATCGCCTTCCCCCTGGCGAGTATCGCCTCCCTTGTCCCTGTGTCCACCGTGTCGGCCTGGCCCAAATCGTGATCACTCGACCGGTAATGGTGCCAGGAGGTGACCGGTGGCCTGCTCCGGCCGGCCCCGACCAGTAACCTAGACAGCCGAGGCGAGACATGGCAGGGCAAGACAAGACATGAGGCAACCGGCTTTGAGATTGCTAACTCAAGAGAGCGGAGAGCGAGACAGATCTCAAAAGGGAAATCGATGAGATGAGAGACATTGCCGGATTAGCACCTCTCAGCTCGTCTACAGGCGCCTGTCATGGAGAGAGGACCCCTGTAGGTGTCATGAGCGTTTCTCGCGCGCCGCTTCGGTCGGGTTCGATACTCCACCTGACCGTCCCGCATGACTTGCAATCGAGTCACTTTCGCCAGTGCCGTGTCTCGAGCCGGTTTATACGCACGAAACAATGGCCTCGGTGTTGGAGCCGGAGCGTATCTTCAACTACGGTAGTTTCAGTCCGGTGCGCTCCAATAGTCCACTCACTAAAGAGTGGACTATCTACTTACTACTATAGAGTACTAGAGTGGAGTCTGTACTACTTTGCATGCGGCTGTTCAATGTGCACCAGCTCTGTTCACTATCGCTGCCTTCGACGGTAACTTTTGCAGTGGACAAACAGAAGACACGGGCTGCTGGAACAAATTGGCGATAAGTCTGATTGCCAAATTTTCCTTTCGATAAGCCTTGCAAAATTTCGTGACCACCGAATTGCAGTTCCAGATAAATATGTTTGGATCCATACAGAAATATGAACGCGCTTTTGATTATTTTTGACTCACTGTTTGGGTGCATAATCTGACCTTTTGTTGTACCCATGTGTACCCCGGCCTCGGGACCGCGCCCGACGCCACGCCCTCTGGCCCTGTCTCGTGACCGCCATCAGTGCGGTTCGTGTCTGTAGCGGCCGGCCAGCTCGTCATGAACGGCCCAGCTCATTACCTAATGTCGGCCTGACCGAGCCGCGGTCGTCTGGTATCGATCTGGCAGCTCGCAGGGTCGCCACAGGTGGTGGCTCGCTGTCGGGAATGGAGGAGGGGACAGGGGGGGCACAGTCACCTGTTTTGACTCGCCGCCTGAGGTCGACTGAGTGCTGCGCCGCATCACAGACAGATTAACCGTTTTTGTGACGATGCCGAGCGGGGATCAGAGTCTATGTGCCAAGGTCCGGCGTGACGGAAGGGTTAATGGTCCCGAAAAACGGCCGACCCAGTGATGAAACCCCGTCAGCAGTGCTTTCCGTCGTCCCACGCGGGATCATTCGAAGATGATGGGCCATTGTGACGTCTTCTCGCGCGGATGAGGTCTCCTCGGGGCAAATTTGCCCGACAGAGCCCTCCCAGGCGCCGCTCGCGAGGGAGGGGATTGTTTCGCGACGTCCTCCGTCACTTTCTGTGTCGTTCCCGGCGGTTGCGTTACAAAACGTGACAATGGGTGGGGTCGGGCGTGGGAGGTGACGGTTCGGTCGTGGTTCGAGGCTCGTACCGCTGCTGCTGAGTCGATGGCGGAGTCAGTGGTGACCGTGGCAGTGCGAGCTACCCAGGGGCGTGGTGCGCGGTATGTATTCCATCGATCGCGTGCCCCCGTCTCTGTGTACGGTCTGAACGGTTGCCCGTGACCTGAATTCGTTTGATCGATTCAGCCGTAGCTAATGCACCTGAGGACGGTGTTTGCTTACGTGTCACACAAGCTGGAAGAGCCTGGACGACAACTTCACATGGTAAAGGGGAGAAACTTTGCGTGTTACCTGGCGATGAGAATACAGTGGGAGGAAGACGACGTGGTCTCACGCAGGAAACCGAGGCTGTTAGAGAGGACGGTCCGATCCGGCTTTCGTTCCACGGAATGGGCTGTTCTTTTTCCGCCCACGCGCGGCCTATCACGGTACTCGGGAAGGAGGGTTTGCTGGTGTTCGTCCTCTGGGCTTGAAACTCTGAGCTCTTTGAGGTCAGATGGACACAGCACTCACGATTTTTGCCGTGCAGCTTTTATTTTATGACTTTTTGCCCTTACCCTCAGTTTTTGCGTGGATGATTTATCTAATTAGTTTTGGTGGTTAAGCGGATAATCATTAGTTATGCATATGCCTAGTCATTTTTATTCATTGATAATGGCATCGGTATTCTGGTATGCTAAAAATCGAACCACCTGGCATGCCCACGATCACTTTCTTTCCAATTGCTAAACCCAGCCCTCCACCCCATTACCTCACGTAGCCTCTCCACTCAACCCTATTCAGCCTCCCTCTCTCGAACCGATTCCCTTTGTCCGATGACGTCATCCATCGCGCCACCCGGCGTGACAGTAGCACGCATCGATGAAGCAGTCTCCTCACCGCCCAATGAAGTATCACGCCATTTAACCCGGCAGTTGCTGGGGTATTTCGCCACCCACCGTTTGCTGGGGGGGGGGGGCGTTAAACGCCCCCAGCCGATAACTCGAGAACCAATAGGCGCAGCGAAACGCACGAGGCGGCAAACGAAAGAGCGCGACGAGACGCTTCAGATGAGTACTTTAAAGTTGAATTTTGAGGTCACAGGTCGGGTCAAGGTCAGGTCAAACACCTGAAATCGAGCTTTCAGTAGCATGGACTTCAGGGCTTCGCAATGGGCGCCTCTCGTCATAAACGTTGTCAAAACGGTGCACAATCCATCATATAAGACCTACAAGAGTGTCAGCTCCATGAAGGGGTCAGTCAAGCATAGGTCAGGGTCAAGGTCAGGTCAACCGGGTAGGCACATATCCCCGAAAATCAAAACTGATATTCGCAGCTTGCGACACATGTTTTATGGGTAATTTGGGGCGTAGAACCCGATGGTGACATTCATTTTATCGTATGTGTACGTGTTTGGCTCAAAAAGTTCAATTTAAGAAATGTATGTATCATGGTCGTGAAGTAGTCGCGAGAAATTGCCAAGATTCAGTTCATGATTTTGGAAAATGCAGAACGATAATCAATAATCGAAGATAGCCATTTGAATGTCCATGGTATTGGCAGTCTAATGGCGTTTACGGCATGTCTGTATGTCTATTCTGTGATTTTATATGATTTTTTGAACATATGCCGTTTTTGGTCGAAAACTCAGAAATCATGACGTCACTAAAACCTCGATATCTCAAAAATTTTCCGACCGATTTTTTTTGAAACTTTGTCACAATAAACTTCAATCAATTCCCTACAGGTACCCAAATTTTGGCGCGCCTGCGGCGCGCCATTTTTATGCTATGGCCCGGCGAAAAAAGTGGGGGCGTTTAACGCCCCCCCCCAGCAACTCGCGGGTTAACGAGTCGACTCCCGCTCCGCCCCCTTTCGCCGGTTAGTGTGTCAGCAAGCGCTAAACATTGCGTCGTTGTGTGTCAAACACTGTGTCACGGCGTGTCAGGCATTGTGTCATGACGTGTCGGACAGTGTCAGTGTCATGCAGGGGCGGGGCCGGTGCGGTGGGCGTGACGGTGTCTGCGCGGACCGCGGCACACTGACCATTTCGTGACCAGTGGTCGGAGTGGTGGCCGTGAACGGGACGAGATAAAGTGAGAGGAAACACCGGGTCTGCTGCACCGACCTGCAGTGGACCGTGAAAGACAGAGAGAGGAAGGGAGCTCTGACCTGGTCACGGGGCTCATGTGACCCATGGTGACTGATGTTCGTAGCTAATGATGCTGGAAGACCAAACCCCGATTGCCGAATGTTTCATTGACCCTGCATGGACACTGAAGAATGGCGGTGATCAGTGACGCCTTATTCGAACGAGTCGATCTTATGTAGGGTCTAGGTTAATTCCTGATGACCATCCACGTCACTGGTCACCGTGTATGGTCGCCGCTTACGTATACTGACTGATGCCGACTTCTGCTGACCGTTCGCATCCTGCCGGCGCGGTGCCGGGCGGTGCTGACCGCTGCTGACCGATTGACCGCTGACGAGGTTCACTGGTCAGCTCGTGGCCGCCCGGTGAGACGATAGCCGCCGTCGCGTGGGAGTGCTAGCCGTGGTCCGCCCTGCCCGACCGGCCGGCCGGAGCCGACGGGGCTAGTTTATGCATGAATCGGTGACTGTAGCAACGGTGGTCGGCCGTGTGGCCCACTTCTTGGCCGTTCAGTTTATAGCGCGGTGTCGGCGGTGGCCGGTTGCCGCCCCGTTCAGCCCCATTGGGCTACCATTGGTAGCCGGCGGTATACCTATGTGGCGGAATGGTGACGGGCTGGGCCACCGTGCCATGAATAAGGTTACTTAAACCGTCAACGGGACTAAGAAATAGTCAGGAGGTCCATGTGACTTGAGGTCTGGCATGGAGTAACTTCACTCTTGCAGGCTGGACTGGGAAACAGCCTGCGGTCGATTGGCCTTAGGTCTGATAAGCGATGTTAAAAGAAGCAGTATCCTTGGAACATTTGTCCAGTTATGAATATCTCATGTTTGCGGTCGCCGTATGTCAGAGTCGGTTCACCGCGGCTTGTTGACAGAGGCTCAGACCTTCCTGTCGGCTGACTCAGCGGGATGTGTCGCTCGGACGTCATGTCCTGCAGTGGCCTGTGCAACACGATCTCGGTTCCCTGTCTGAGGAGCTCACGGTCGCCAAGAGAGCCAGGCGCGGCGGATGCCTTTGAACGCTCCAACGATTTGTAATACATCAGACATTAAAGCGAATGCGAGCCGTCGTAAGCCACCGCGCCCGACTTTGGGACAGAAAGCTGCTGTCTCAGTGTTAAGTCGCCTGTGGTGTTGAGGTGTGGTGTTTCTCTGGTCATCTACATGAAGGGACGTGTAAGCTGGTCTGTTTTGGGAACGGTGACTAAGTGAACGGTACAGGAGTCAATGGCCTCTCAAAGAATCGTACCACGCTTCGAGAGCCGGATATAAGTATGACGTTGTGCATAACAACATGCAGCAGCTTCAGGTTAGTACGTTCAGAGCGGCTGGCGACGAACGCAGCCATTCATGTGCCGCTAAAAGCCGTTTTCTCGACGGGCTATCTGGCGAGTGCACCTTATTTGACCAAATCTGCACTAAATCTCTTTTACAATCTCTTTTAAATCTAAATCTCTTTTATCTTCGTACCATGAATTTATTTCAGTATTTTAATCGAAAATAATGTCTGATAATTTAAAAAATGAGAAACCCATATAAGCATCTGTGCAGCCCAATCTGATAACTTTCAAGAAACACTACACTGCACCTAATGTGACCAAATCTGCACCTAATCTGCAATAAATGTGTACCAGATGGCCGTCGTGAGGCTGATGTGGATTTTGCTTGAACGTTGATAGCCCCAACTGACTGACGTGACTGATCAGCGTGAATTGATCACTGATCATCAGTGTCGTATTGATGATTTGATCAGCTGTCCAACTCACTGAGTCCGGACGGTCGATGGTTGACCGGAAATGACAAAATGGCATCACGCGATCGGCAGATTCTGCGGTATTTTCGGAGCAGTCGCTGTCCTAGTCACCAAAGCAGGCGAAAGTGTCCAAGAGGGGGTTTGCAACTGGATGCTTGCCCCGTTGATAAATACGCGAAGTTTGATAACAATGCAACGTTTTTTATCGTTTTCAGGACATCGAAACAATAAAATACGTGATACGTCTTTATCTATTGGATGATCATTGCTCAATCTATTTTTACTTTTCTTGTAAAAACCTTGGAGTTCTGGGTATCTTGAAAGATAAGACCTCGTTATACTGTATACACATTGCACATATGCACATGCATTAGCTCATATGCCTATTGGCTGCTTTGTCATTCCCAAGTCATAGACGTCAGTATCAGCAGCTGCTCTCCATGGTTCTCCCATGCTACTTCATCGGCAGTAATACTAACTTCTACGGTGCGATGCGCTATCAAAGTCCCTATTGATGTTATATCATCGAGGTTTTCCCATCTTTTCTGTGTCAAGGTTCGGATGCCAAGCTCAGTGCATTTCATTGTGGCATTACTGTTTCTTCAGAAAACATCAGAGCCGACCTCGAAGAGGGATTTCGGAAACGTCAGATTTAAACCAACACTCCCACAGTTATCATAAGTCTCTGCACTGGAGTACGGATCAATTCAGGCCTAATCGATTTCGACACGTGACCTTCGAACAAATACAATGGAAGCCCAATCACCAGCCATTTTGCAATAGCTCCTCTATCAGCTCTTAGTTTGATCGAGTGCAGGCCTTAGTACCTACAGTGTTTATTGACTGGGACAAATGGTTTGAAGGTCGGATGCGGTTATTCATCTTCCTCACTTACTGTTAGATTTATCCCCACACGAATTACTCGTAGGTACCCTAAGGAGTCGGAAATGATTGCCACTCGTCAAAACCTGACCTAACATCACCTCTCATTCACAGATGAGTGAACTGCCAACGCTCAGGGAGGATGAGAGGCTCGATTCTCTGGAGGAAACGACTGCGGATGAGCAAAGTTCCGACATCTCCGACATCAAGCCCTCCGACCTGGCACAGGTAAGTTCTCGGCTGCTCGAACGATTATCACGATGCCTGTGCAACTGCGTGCGGTAACTGACGGTCATTGTTAGATGCAGATTGTCTGAAGCTGGGCAGTGCATGCGTTTAAACAAGTCCGCTTTTAGACCCCTGTATCCGAGGGCTCCTTCCGTGCCTGCCGAGCCCAGCAGCTGGATTACCACAGCCCAGCTCTAATGAGCATGCCGACACTATTCGATTCGCCGCCCGTCGCCGCTCATTAAGCCATAAATCAGCTGATCGGACGTTAATGCCTGATTGATCACGCGGATTCCGTTCGATTTTCGTGATTCGATCTCGCGCTCAGCGTGACGCGGATGCCTCTGTTCGGTGGACTGGGTTCTGACGCTGCCTCTGTGTGCGCTGCGGCAGCTCAGCCGCGAGGAGCTGCGACAGCTCTGCTGCGAGCTGCAGAGAGCTCACCATCAGCTGCGCCAGGCGCACGAGCTGATGGTAGCCAAGGTGCGCGAGACGGGACGGTCCGGCCGCGCCAGGTCACGCGTCGAGAACGAACTGCTCGCGTCTCAGGTGAGTCCCGTGCCTGCGTCCCTCGGAATCCGGCAGTCACTCGGGCTGGGTCAAAAGCCCCGGCCCGTCCCGCCCCACCCGGACCCGTCTGGATGACCTGTGTGACCCGGCCCTAACGAGCTGTTTTCAGGGTAATGAGCTGAGCGCTGTGACTGGGTGTGTGTTCCAGACTGTCCCGCGGACCCTGCGGATGGTTCCAGAAACTGACTGAATAGGATGGTCTCGTGCGGTGTCTGTGGGGGAGCCGGCGATGGAGTGATCCCGTAATAGAGCGAGTTGACGCCTCATCAGCGAGCTTTCAGGCGGTGATTGATTATGCCGCTATTCTTAGACACGTCATCTGCGGAACATGCATAAAGCACCGTGTCTGGGTTTCAGGGAATGCAAATCTACCTGTCGAAGAGGCATTGTCTATGTTCTTTTTGATATTGTCGTATTCAATAATGGGCTTGTCACTTTAACAATGAACTTCGTGATGTCATCATTAAGCCCTGTCCTTAAATGCGTCCAGGCTCGATCTTTGCATCTTTGCGACTCATTCAAATGTGCCCACGGCGTCCCATCACAAAAGCGTTGATTTATCTCTCGTGTGTGTGAGAAAAACACATGTCTCGCCTCTCGCCCCCGCCAGTCATTTAACGTCCAAACGAAGGTGAGGGTCACAACATCAAAAACATACCCTCGACCCCGAGGTATGACAGGGAAGGAGGCTGTTACGAGCGCTGGCATTACAGCTGAACATGACACAGCGCAAGTGAACCTGGTGCCCTTCGCGTCACTATCGTCAGCATCAGGGTGTGCCGCTGGTAATCTCCATTGTCCCTTTGGATGACCTATGTCTCTGAGAGTAAGAGTAAAACGCTTTCTCACAGGAGTCAGTGGATATGGGATTCTGGGATAGCAGACAGGAGACCATCGACTCGTCCTCACATTCACCACTTTCGGTCCCAGAAGTAAATGCAGCTTCCCCGGGTGGTAGTCAATTATAGATCATCGCTCCCAGGCAGACGGACGCGACAAATGCTGTGTTTTAATTAAAATTTTAGAGCTATATAGCCACCATGCTATGACAGAGGAGTGAGGCTATACGTGTGAGCTGATTATTGCACTTATTTGTCATGCTTTGTCGCTCAACCATGATATGATTCTTCATGCTTTCAAGAGCCGTGAAAACGATAAAGTGAACGTTACCTGGCCGCCCGATTCGTATGCATGCTGTGCCAAGATCATCCGCTTGGATTCTGACGGGAGCTGCATTTGATGAGATTAGGTTAAACCCAAATATCCAATGCCATTTTTACTTTCTCTTCGCTTATGCCGTTGCCGCGATTGTATCTCATTATTGTGTTGTGTCAACATTTGAAAAGTGCAGTGGCTAATAATCAATCGTCTATTATTAACTCTTGTTGTTCAGCGAGGTAAAGCGACGCCATTCACTGCTGAATTGCTCTTACACTTCGGTACATTGAACATCAATGGCAACCTTGTTTGTATACAGTGTTGCTAAGAGATGATTGTTAAAGCATTACTTGTGTATGCTTTCCTTTTTGAACTATGCCCTAAACAAACATCAAATAACATTTGGGTTCGGATTGACAGTGGTAAAGAGATTGAAGGAAGGACCAGTATATTCTGGACCAGGGCCAGTATCTGACTGAACAGTGACTAATTTAAGACGAACAACATCTGACTGAAATATTTTTTCATTCATGTTACCAATTTGAGGTCGGGATAACTGACTGACTGGTGCCTGATTTGATAGCCTACCGGTCTGACTGATTTGTGCCTGATTTTAGTCACTGGTGCGTGACCTGGAGGCCGCCCTGGCCACTAAGGGCGTCGACCCGTCCGCGCTGCAGGAGAAAAGCGTCCTTACGGCTCAGAACCTGTGTCTAACGCAGAAGCTGCGTGACCTCCGTGCCCGGGAGGTCAAGGTCAAGAACGAACTGCAGGAGCTTCGCGACCTCAACGAACTGATGGAGTTTCGAATTCTCGAGCTGGAGGGATGTCAAGAAAAGGTGAGACAGGACCACGCGCCGTCTTCCGCTTTGTAGAATAATGAGGCAGGTTTTAGCTCAGACATACAAATGAGACGGCATACAGGTTAATTGTTGCAACCATGCACATTTCGCCATTTTTCTGGCATGGCGAGGGAACGAAATGGACGTTTTCTCATGCTTCATTGCGCCAAGCGTGCGAACCCCTGTCGGCGCACTCATATGTAACGCTGGTTTAACGGCTCATTTATGCGTCCAGAGAAGGAACAAATGCATAATTAGTTGCTCATTTTCTGCTTCATTTCACACGAAACTGTTCTTACGCGACAGAGGCGTTGCATAAGTTTGTAATGCTAACGATGGTGAGCTGGTGAAAGGACCGAGTACCTACAGCCTTGAACCTTTTTGATTGTGGTAACAGTAAGCTCAGTATAAGTGTTTCAGTATCTCATTTGTGATGTCGATTCGCTGGTACTTTAGCTTACATCTGTATGCCTATAGGTAGGTATGTGACAGTTTACCAAACTGCTCCTATCCCTTCACTATCACTAGTTTCATCTCAGCTGTGTGCTCCTAATGATTCAGACATGCATCATAGTCCGACAAGAGGAACTTCACGCTTTCGTCCAAGGTGCTCACTCACTGGTAATCGGCAGATTGGGAGAGGAAACGAGAAAGATCGTGACCTCTCGGGGCATCATTACCGTCGTCTCATGTTTAAACAGGTCTGTCTTGGCTTGTTACGCAGCAGAAGAACACCAAAACAGACTAGAGTACACAGAAAATAGGGCGATGCATCCTACGCGTAGATTTATCACCGTAACACACATTCTGTGTGAAAACACATTTGTATCGTACCTACTTGTATTTCCCCTCCGTGAGGTATCACTAGGGCCATCTATCGGCCGCTGCGCGAACTACGGCGCCTGCGCTGAGGTCAATGGAAAACCAGTTTTGCCGCTGCAATGGGGGCAGTGTGACGACCCAGCCGTATTGGCCGTGGCCGAACCGGGTGCGCCCCGGTGCCGGCGGCAGTCGCGCCGTTAGTTAGCCACCGTTTGTCGCGGGCGCGCCGGGATTGTATGCTAATACCGGGCTCCTCTGTCCGGTACGACGGCGCTCAGTGTCGCGCCGGCCGTGCTCGTGCCGTGCTCGCGCCGTGCTCGTGCCGTACCGTTCGCCGTATTGGGCTGTGGGGGCGTAGTGGGTCGACTGGGCCGTCCCAGGTCAGCTGTGTCAGTCTCGGACTGTGGAGTCTGATCCAGGTGGGTGGTAGGAGAACAGGGCCTCACGGGTAGCCTACGTTGAGTTATGACGAGGCCCGAGAGCCTCGGTATTTGGAAGGTTTGGAAAAGAGGCTGTTTTACAAGTGTCTTTGTTGCAATAGTTTGCATTTTATGGCAACCTTACATGCGTAGAACCATTTGATCAACATGAAAATCTATTGTGCCGGTCGTCGAGTTATTTGTACATAAATCATGATCATGATTTAACCAACATCGAGAAGCATTTGACACTTGACAGAACGCATTATCCCTAGCTCACTTTGAATTCCACCGTGCACTATTGCCCATGTGCCCCTTATTTTTTAGGCTGATGAGTTTTGGTCCTATACAGGCTACAAGTTGGACCATCAGAGCACTTTATCTTACACTCGTGTCAGCTGCTCATAGTGCAGAAGCATGGTTATACCCTGGTGCCTCTTTTCTACAGCCCACTGCCCAGCTCCGCAAATCTCACAACTGTGTACCCGGCCTTCCCACAGTCGCCGGTGTCCAGTCATGACCCCATAGTTTTTTGTCTTGCTTGCTTACTTGTTGCTCGTCTCTCACCCATGTGATCCCTGTTCACAGTCTGGAGACCGGTCATCGCCAGTGCCCACTCTGGACCAGACTAGGACAGACTCATCACAACAACAGGACGAGACGGCACCAGCCAGCAGCCAGGTCAGTCCCGCCGGGTCGATTTAGAGGCTGTAATTGGTTGTGTTCATTTATCCGATCATCTGTCCATAGAACTCTGCACCCTAAGGTATAAAAAGGTCTTTCCTGTCCCAGCGCAGCCAAGAAGCAATTCCGTTCGTCGAAGTGCTTCTTTTTACACCTAGCAGTTTCCCTGACACGTGTTTTCCTGGCTTTGTTTCCTTTTTTTATTCAGTTAGTATATTGGTGACAGTGAAAACATTGGGGGACTATACTCTGATGAGTGATTGAGTAGGCTTGCATATCCGTTATGCTAGCGCCCTTGAAAGTGCAGACAACAGTACGGCATGGCTGTTGTGGTTTGGGCTGTAGCATAGGGTTCCCAGTCTATCTTGTGGCGCCACCTGGCTCAGAGCACCTGTTCCTGGCGCCCTCTGTCGTCGAAAGGCAGCGATGTTCGTACGCGCCCTACATCAGCGCCACCTGTCGTGTGGGCTTATGTTGACGAAAGGCCTCAGCGCCATCTGCCTTACTTATAGCAGCCGCCCTCTCATGGGAAATAGTGTTGTCATTTGCGGAGAGGAGATGTGCTGTATCGTAAATCCACATAGAAAGTGAACCACCCTGTTTTTTCATCGACAAATTCATCACATTCTCAATCATTTGTTTGATGTTGGCTGATTGACTTTCGTTGGACGTTGGCTGTCGTCATTGCCATCGCATGTGATAGACAATGCGTGAGCTGACTCATGGGTCGAAAATGATCTGGTCCGTAGCCAAATCAAAAGACACCAAGCACCTAGCCGGTGTAACCATAGCAAGTCCGTGTTCCACACGAACTTCACAACACTGTTGGGTTATCGGTTTTGCGCAACACTCAACAATCCAGCCTGTTTATCAAACATTGTTAAACATAGAGTCATCGTTACAGTTTTAACGCTCCTGAACCCCTTCATCCATCCAGGTCGGCCACTTTAGGATGTCAGATGTGAACTCTCGTAGTGGATTCTGAATGATTTCACTAATGGGCATTTCTCAATTTAAGCATTACCTACCCTCTAATGACCTAGTATTCGACTACATATTTTCCCAGCTTAATTCTTAAACTCCCGCCCATTGTCGGGTACATACATAAAACAATTTTCATTGGCTCAAGTTACTCCATTTTAGGAATACCTTCGTTACGGGATAAATGTTCGGTAAGCTCATTGACGTGCTGTGTGGTCACTGGTCATTTGACACGTCTGTTATTTCCTCTGCATTGTTTTCCTCCGAGGCGTTATGAAAAACCGTCTTTGTCTGTCGGGAGATGGAAACACAGTTCTCATAAAAGGTGACAGTTTTAATGCTAAATATGCAACAATTCGAACTCGTTATTGAATAAACACATGAATAACGCCTATCAGACTGCTTATGGGTTATGTGTGTTGACCGGTGACGTTTTCAACTTCAATAAAAATGTGAAATTCGAGGAGTATTTGGAAGTCAGAAAATCTTTTTGGGAGTGCTGGCCTCCCCTTCGGCCCATACCAACTCTCTGGAAGTGCGCCAAAGATTCTACGCATTGTCGGACAGCTATCTAAAGCTGTATACAGAACACAGATGCCTTTACCATTAGCATTCCAATTATCTCCCGATAATCTGATCTCAGTTGATATTTACCATCTCGTCTTTCCAAAGCTCCGAACTCGGCTAAATGTTTACATGACGGCACCCGGTAGCCACTTTTAACCCGCGCCCCGCTGGGCTATTCAGCCATACGCGCCCTGCTGGGGGGGGGGGGGGGGCAGATTCTGCCCCCCCCCCCTGTCTAACTTCCGAACCGATGGTCGTAGAAAGACGGGGAAAACGGCAATCGAAAGCTCTCAACAAGGCGGATCTAAAGAGCCCAAATTTTTTTGCTTAAGTAGGTCACAGGTCAGGTCAAGGTCAGGTCAAGGGTACAAAATGCAAGTTTCTACAGTATCGGCCTTGCACCGTAGTTGCCGAAGAATGGACTGAGACTGATTGCCCAAAACGTGTTCTTAGACTACCAAGGCAATATTCGTTGCATGCAATGTCATTCAAAGGTCAAGGTCAAGGTCAGGTCAGGTCAGGTCAGGTCACCAAAAACAAAATATAGAAAAGGGCATGTGCGACACATGTTTTATGGGTCATTTTACTCATAGAATTCAATAGGCACACTCAATAAGTGATATGGACCACCTCTGGATGAATTTCAGGTCAAGGTCAGGTCAAGGTCAGGTCAAGTGAGGTCAAATTTTGAAGTTGGTTGTTAAGGCCTAAAAAGGTGTCTATCCGATGCAGTTTTTCACGGCGAATCGAATGGTGCTATTTTTGTTTCCGTACGAGGTCTAGAACTTCCAAAAAAATCATTTTTCAAAATTTGTGTGTGTCGTGACGTCATAAAATTTTGAATAACTCCCACATCTTTGAACCGATTCTTCTAAAAATTGGTATGTAGGTGCACATAGACTACTTCTCTGACATATATTCCGGTTTTTTCGATACACCCAAAATTTTGGATTTTATCATTATGTTCCCCAAAAAATCAGTTTTTGAAAAAATTTGGGCCACAATCCAAAATTTTCAAAAAACCGAGATAGCCATTTGATAGACAAAGTAGAATCACGTATAACCTTTTTTGTTACGTCTTGATTCCTTTAAAAATGAAGATGTTAGCGGCGTTTGAAATTTTGCCGTTTTTGAGGCGAAAATGGCGAACATGACGTCACAAAAACGTCAATTTCTCAAAAATTTCCCGACGGATTTCGCTCAAATTTTCAGGGAACGTGTCAAAGTGATGTATGATAAGGTACTGAAAGTTTGACGTCGCTGGCGTAACGCGTTCAGAAGTTATTGGCGAAAAACGGGAGGGGGGCAGATTCTGCCCCCCCCCCCAGCGGGGCGCGGGTTAACCACCGCTTCAAATAATCCATCATCGCTGATCTCTTTCTCGTTAGCACAGCCCATGGCCACGGCTATTGGCTCTTGTGTATCCTGGTCAAGGCCCATGGTCGGCCAGCTCTCATTAAACGTAATCAAACTCGACACTTACACGTCTATCAAGCGCGAAAACCATCGCAATCATCTCTCGACGCACGGAAGGCCGTCTTCGAGTTTTACTAACCAAGCAGTGACTCTTCCAAAGCACTATCGTTGAGGTCTCTCCATGGACAGTCCTTTGCCCCTCCGTTCAGTGTCCACTGCACCACCCGTCACATCTTATGTCCGTCCAGGCCGTACCTACTGGGACAGAGGTACGGCTATGGTCTGGGTGTGGCTGACCTCGTTAGTGGTGAGTGTTTTGCTGCGGCGCCAGCCCTCCCACATGGGCGGTGAGGTGACCCGTCGCGTGACGGCAGCTCTCTGACTCGCCATTTCACACCGTCCGAGCTTTGGCCAGACAGTCTCAGGGTCTGCAGTCTGGATTATCATCGCATGGAAAAGCTAGACTGCCCTCGGACTCTATAAGACGTGTTTGTTTCTGTATTATATCTTCTGCGGGTCAACTTTCTTCGCAATTACACGCCCTCCATTTTGCGGGTTAGGCACGGCCGCACCCGTCGCCTATTGTTTTGAATTCCGCACCTCTGCGAAGGCGGACGGTTGTGGGTCAGCTCGTGACGGGTCTTCTCCGACCCAGCTACGGCAGCACGTCGGCCGCGCTACGACCTCCCGCGGCCGTGCCGCGTTCTGCAGACACATTAATCGGCCGCTTCCCCGGATCGGCCGACGCCTGCGGGTGTCGCCTGCTCGGCTGCGTTCCGACCCCGCCTGGTGGAGATAGCTGCAACATTGCAGCAGTGCAATGGTGCAGGTCCGGCTGCATGAGCAGAGGTGATCGTTAGAGCGGCACTGGATTCTTCAGAGTCTCGACTCACGCAGTGGGCTGACTCGGTGGAACCCAAGGCCCGCCGTGCTGGCTAGTGGCTAGCCCCCTGTGGTTCCGCCCCTGACCTGGGCGGCTATGCGGGGCTGATAAAGACCCTAGTGACGTCATTGTGTTGTCATTAGACACCAGTGACGTCATCAAGTCAGGCGGGAGACCGTTTTGAAACTCCTGTAAGTGACTCTGACCCTCTGTGAGAGACCCACAAGGTCGGGAACGGGGTCGCGTTTGTTGGTCGTCCGCCGGCGCGCATATTGCCGGTCGTTTATGGTTACAAATGGGCCATCTTGCGACATGGGACCCATGAATGGGACTGTGGGCTGCTGGCTCAGCTCAGGTCGTGACCGACCACGCTAGAAATGCTCGCCATCTATGGCAATTGGGGCGATGTTTGGACCGTGGAACTCGGCTCTCAGCTCTAATTATAAGGAGCTCTTGTAGTGACCTGTTTAGCTCGATGGCCTTGCTAGAATCGCAGACTCGAAAGGACAGCCTGCTGCTTTAGTTTGATGACGACTCACGTGATTTGGTTGTCAGCGGTGACTAAAGCGAAAGTGCTACTGCTCTACCGTGACCTCAAGGGCGTTCCTTGGGCCGACCTCTCGTGACCTCACTGACCTCAGTGGTCAGGGCGCGCGAGGTCTGTGGTTCGGTGTGACCTGAACTGACCCCGAGTGTCGCTAGAGAGAAAAGCACTGTAACACGGTAAGGCGTGTCTGTTCGGAGCTAATTTATGGCTTCACGGTCTGGAGACTAAGGACTTAGTCTTAAGAGCTTGTGAAAACAAGCTCTTAACCCGCGCCCCAGTGGCGGTCTCAGCCAACTTCGCCCTAGTGAGGGGGGGCATATGTTACCACCCACCTCTAACTCAAAAACTAAGAGGGCTAGAAAGACGCAGTAAAAAGCAGTCGATAGCTCTCAATGCGTACGTTTGAAAGTATTTCGGCCATTTTTCACCTTAGAGCAATATTGGGGTCACCAGAGGTCATCAAAGGTCAAAATTTGCCAATTGTCATTATATTTTTCAGAAAACATGCCGCTATCTCAGGAACTATGGTAGCTAGAAAAACGCACGGAACAGCAAACGATAGCTTTTGAACTCTTCTTTTGAAAAGGTCATTATCAATATTGA